CACAACCGTAGGGCCATGAAGAGATGCTCTGTACTCAGCAACCTCATGCTACTTTATAGGAAGGGAGAGACAAAAACCTGTGCTTGAGCTATTGGGAAGTGTGGGGTATAGGGAAGAGCAATTATGTTTTGGGAGATTATAGGATCCAAGCTGTGAAAGGTTTCACTTTCTACAGAGGACTAACAGGGTTTCTGTGCCAGAAACCAAAGATAGAGCCAGCTCTGTGAGCTGATCCGATCAGAAAGAGAGGGAGAACATGTAGACCCAATACAGCAGGCACCACCTAGGAGCAGGACTATGTGACAATAATGGGGCCCAGCTGAACCTCTTTTTTTCACAAAATGTTTCCTTGGTGGAATATCAGGAGCCTTTTTTGTCCAGCCTACGTCTGTTTTTCCTGAGTGAAATCAAGTATGACACACCCCTCAATGTCCCTCTAACAGTGCCACATTTACATTAGGGGGGAAAATGATTTGCAATCATTACTTTTTTGCAACAATTTTTTGGTTATAGAATCTTTTATCAGTATTCTAGACTTTGCCTGCTGAGCTAGCCCACATTAATAAAGTAAAATGCAAATGGTGTGCTCATCTCTGCTGACCCCAACTTTGAAAATTGGTTTTTCTTTTCCTGCTTCTCATCTTTGACAAAAGAGGGACAGGAATAACCTTAGAAATCAGCAGGTACAGCTGCTGGTCTTCCAAGTGACCTGAATCCCATTTGTCATTACACAGGCTTTCAGTACAGTGGATACTGGGAAACGGTGATGCTGTGGGAAATGGTAGATGATGGATGCCAGTTAGACTAATTAGATAGTTCCATATTTCTAAACCAAATTCTTTCCCTCCATTCCCTATATTATCTCTTCTTAAGGTTAATTGTTCCTTTCCATCTTGCTGGTTTGTCTGAAAACCAGCCTTGATGCTAAAGGATCCATGTACATCCATCAAGTTTCAGACAGAGGAAGGAAAAATCTCTGAAAGCATCTTCCATACCTGCGCTAGCAAGCTTTCTCCTATGACTTCTCTTCACAGTGCAAGACTGCATAAACCAATTCCTGAAGATACTAATACACCACCTCTCTTTCACATGCTTGTATTCACTTCTCTGTCTTGTTCCCTCTGTCCTTCAGAGCCTTCACTAACTTTCCTGTGGTGTGCACACTTATTCTCAATAATCACAACATCCCCTCATTTCCTTGGCTCTAATCTCATCAAGACTAAAAACACAACTCACACACAGAGAATACTTCCAAGGTTCTTTTCTACTCTCTCTTACATTCTGATATTCTGCTGTCTTCTCTCGTTATGCTACTGAAATCACTCTTGTGACTTCTGCCTCTTTAAATGATGTTGGGGTTTTTTTATATATCTTCAGTGATCTTACTTCTGTCACCTGTCTCTCAACTTTCTTTTTCCACTCAAAGCTTGCTCTCCTTGGTTTTCGCAACTCCATCTTTACTCTCCCTTTTGACAGCTGAGGCTTCTTTTTCCATTCCCATTTGCCACGGGAATCTCAGGAGGCTTTCACTCTTCTGCCTTTCCTGGTGCATCAGTACCCAGTCACATTGGCACCAGTGACATATGCATTTATCTTGGTCTCTCCATCCACCCAGGCCTACATTTTATCCATTATGTCTTCTTGGTGAAGTGTCTTTGCTAATTCAATTTTCTCGTGCCTGCTGCTGAACTTCCAAGGAGCCCCTGCGGTGCTAATCCGATTCCTCCAGTGTCTTCATTGTTCTTCCTTTTGTCCTGCCCTGTTGCTTGAACTAATCAAAATCAGTCCTATCTCAAGGCAGATGGACCATGCTGAGGCTTTGCAACATTTTCTCTCAAAGTCACAGCATTCCTGTATGCTCCCTGCCTTTTCTTTCCCCCTCTCTCCTTTTGGGAGACATCCTTAATAGCCTATCACAAACAAAAATTGGTACACTTATTCTTGCCCATTTTCTCATTGGTTTAAGTCTCTTCCCTGACTCTCTCTTTTACCATCATTCAACTTCTAATTTTCTTCCTCCTTCACAGTCACACCCACTTCTGACCACTTTTACTTCTTATCATGCCATGTCTTTTTCTGCTTTATCTGTGATATAAACACTAATCCTTGAAAAATCTGTTGCCACTCATTTTTAAATAGTTATTTTCATTCCACCTGAATAGCTATATTACAAACACAAAACTTGGGCAATCTATCTTCCCTTCCCACCCTGTCTCTTTCAGATAAACTTGAAGAAACTAGCTAGGAAACTGGATTTTTTTTTTTGTTTTTTCAGCAGTCTAAAAGAAAGAAAAAACACCCAGTATTGATTAAAGAACAATTTGATAAAACTGATATAAATGGCTTAAGTGGTTGTTGATTTTTTACTTCCTCCCACTGAGGGATTAAAATGTACCATGAACAAACAAATGTAAATTGATGAAAGTCAACCAATCACAAATATACAAAAGAATCTATTAACTGCCTGGAGTGCACTGACACAAACATTAAAATATTTTCATGGATGACATGGGGGATAGAAATTGTGGTTTCACTGCACTGAGAAAGGAAGAAAATGAATGAGATGAATTTACAAAAGCTAACAGCTTTTTGCCCGGCCCAGCAATTCCATAGTCTGAATTTCTGCCTAGTCCTTCCTAATTTAGGGCTTCATCCTCTGCACAGTGTTTAATTCTGTTAATGTTCACAGACTCATGGAGTACTTGGGGTTGGAAGGGAACTAAACAAAGCAATTTTGCAGTTTGGGAGCCTCAGATCCTGACACTCTGTAGATGCAACTCTGCCACCACTCCTATAAGCCATAAGCATGCTTATATTTTTGGGGTATGACTAGTCCTGTAGAAACTCTACTGACAGTTCTGCCTAATACAAAAAGCAATGAGTAAGGCTAAAATCAAGTTTGGATACACTTAAAGATGAGTTCTCTCCTTCCAATTTTTAAATCAATATCACACCTGAATTCTGACAGAACAAGTGAGCTGTACAATGTATCCATAGAGAACCCATCTGTGAACAAACATCACCACCTTGGGCACTGCACTTCGTGCTAGTGGAGCACAAAGTCTGGATGATGGCAGACTGGAGAGAAGCGAGGAAAGGGGAGCAGTGGAGAAGGCTGGAGCTACAGAAACATAATTATGGAGTTACTGCAGTCAGGCATGGAATGGCTTGGGTTGGAAGAAACCTTAAATAATGAGTTCCAACTACACTCCATGGGCAGGGACACCTTCTAATAGACAAAGTTTTAAATCAGTTCAGGCTTTCTGGCATGTTTTCCTGACTTCTTTCTTGGACTATCTCTTTTTTGAGATGGATCACTCCTGAGGTTGGAGGAGGTGATCCTTGAATATTATCTATCTTTCTTGAGCTCCTCTTCCCTCCAGAGCCTTATCCTGTGATACTCTACCAAGGAGATCCCTATAAAGGCCCAAGTCTGGCCTCCTGAATTCCAGGGCAGTGAGCTTGCTTTGCACCCTGCTTGCTGCCCTAAGGATCTTGAATGTCACCATTCAATGGTCACTGCAGCCCTGGCTGCCCTTGAGCTTCACATTCCACACCAGACCCTCCTTGTTGGTGAGAACAAGGTCCAGAACAGCCCCTCTCCTTGGTGGCTCCTCTATATCACTTGGAGAAGGAAGTTATCATCAATGCATACAGAAAATGGCAGGATTCCTGAAACAGAAGTTAGGCATATGAAGGTTTTTCTTAATCTGACCAGCAAAATTTCCCTTACCTAGGGATTTTTCTCATCCTATTTTTACACGGAGAACTATGTACTGCTGCAACTACATCAATATAATTAAAACACAATAAATTAATTCCCTATGAGGAAGTCTGATAAGCTGTATAAAAGGGATTTACACCAGTCTATGTTATATCACTCTAGCAGGATATATAATATACACATTTTTGTAGATATGAAATGCTCTGTTTGGTGCATGGAGATAAAACAGGGAGATCAAACACCAGCTCAGCAGGGGCCATTAGCATTGCAATGCCTGCAGGGAGAGGAAACCTGTGCTCTCTGGAGAGGGGTCCCCCAGCAGTGCAGAGAGGCTCCCCTGTACCAGGGGGCTTGGGGAGGCCCTAGATGTGGGAAGTCCCAGCCCAGAAAAGGTGAGGTGGGAGGCAGGGGGGGTTCCTGCTGTCAGACACTTCCCAGATGAGATTCCAAGCATCAGTGGAGATGCCAAAAAGCCTGGAGGCTTTTTGCCTGAAGCTAAGGGAGGTCTTGGTGAGAGAACGGTGGCTGGTGGCATAAAGAAGACTAAAAGGAAAAGTTCCCTGTAACTCTCCTGGACAGCTGTGAGGGGGTGCCCAGGGAACCAAGATACACCCTGGCAGCAATACAGCTATTTTGGTCATTAAATCTTAGCCTCCCCCTCCTCATGACACAGGCCAAGACAAAATGACTCAGGCTCTCTCTACAGTGGATCTTGAAGCAAAACATAATCTCATTAGTTCAATAACCTAGGTTACTCATCCACTCTTTCTACAGCCTCCTTCCAGACCTCCTACTCTCCCTGGTGTGCCATTTATTTGGTCCAAAAATGCTTTACTCTAAATTAGCCCTGCTGTCACAGCTTTCCAAGAGAGTTCATCTCCACAGAGTTTGTATTCCTGGATTTAAAATTGCTGCAAGTCAGCCTTTCTTCCCTTGTGAGCAAGGAGAAAACTTTCAGCTTGTGCCATGCAAAAACCACTTTCTGATTTCTCACGAGGCATGTGTCATGATAGGAAAATGTAGTTACTTGAACTGCACAGGGCTGGAAGACTCTAAAGCTCTTCTCTGCACTCAGTCATATGTATTAATTACTTAAATGAACATATATCATGAGCAAGTGATCTCAGGCAGTCAAGTCTGAACTCAGGACAGGCCTTTGAAGCTCACTCTGTTTTTATCATGTTCATAGTTTCTGATAACAATTCTAGCAGAACTGTGAAAAAACCCCAAACCAAAAGAAGGGAAGGGAAGGGAAGGGAAGGGAAGGGAAGGGAAGGGAAGGGAAGGGGACAATGTAAACCTGTTTGACCAGGTGTGACTGAATAAACATTAGCAGACTATAGCAAGTTACTGCAAAAATTGTATGAGACAAATGCCATCCCCTTCACTACTGCTCTGAGCAAAGTGTTGCTTATTGTAGGATCCCCTTGACTCAGCCTAAGACTCATGCAGCCATATTATTGGGATAGAGGCCTTGCCCAGTGGGTGTATTTTAGCCTTTTAATGACACATTTAAAGGTGCTTGTTTTGAAAGCAGATCTGAGCTGCTAGATTGTGAAGTGCCAATTCATTAGGTTTGACTCAGCGTAAAACTCCTTGGTAGTTTAGCTGATGAGGGGAGATAATTCTTTAGCCACATTACATGTGCAACACAAGCTTTATTTTAGCCTCAGAACACATAAAGACAAGTCGGGAGCAAAATCAGCAAGCCTTAAATGTGACTCCTCCGTTCCTCCACAGGACACACCTGACTAAATTAAACCAACAATGTACTGGGAACAAAAGACTACTTTTCATCCTCTTTTTTTGGCCAAGATACCTTTGAGTACTAATCTGTATCATGTACAAAGAGCCTGTAAAAACTTCCTTCTAAAATTATAACAACAGAAGAAATTAGGTCAGCTACTAAAGAGTAGGTTTGGTATAATGAAGCTATAGCACCCCTGGGACAAAAAAGGTAGTGCTTTTTGAATTTGCATTTTGTCAACTTACACAGCTTATTGCTGTGGGAGGAAATCAAGGCAAATAACACTAAGACAGGATTTTCCAAAACGTTGGAAAACTGTTTGATCATTAATCACATTTGCTAAGACTGTGATTAGGGTAATTGCTCTGTATTTCTTTTCATAAACCGACAATGGGGGGATAAGGAAGGACTATCCCCTACCCCATGAAGTGCAGCACAGCCCAATTGCCTCTTTGTGCCTTTTTTCCCCCCCCCTGTAGCAGCAAATTCTTGCCCCTGAAAAGGCACAATACTGATGGCTGCATGCAGAGTAGCCTAGTGGTGGGATCTACTAAAGTAGTGTCTGTTTCATTGTAGCTATATCTCATTTACTTTCTAGGTGACAAGATATTCTTTGGAGTGAGTTTTCTAAGTGGTTACTTAGCAGTGGGAACATAGGGCTGGAGTTTGAATGGACTTTCATAAAATCTTTCTGAAATGCTACCTAGTATTTGAAAAGACTTTTCTTCAGTGTGGCTGGTGGCAGCAATAGTGCACAAGGTCTCACGTTGTCTCAGCGGCTGTGCAGTGTATTATTGCTGCCCTCAGTTTGGCTCTAGCTTCCCTTTTTTTATTACACAACTGCATAAAAAGGTTCTTGTCTGAATATGAAGCAATATTTGAACGCTCTGTTTTAATTACTAGCACATGCATTTCTGTGACACACATCCCTGTGGAATCTAGACATCGCCACTTTAATTTAGAAACACTGATATCATTATAATGAGCATAATGCAGACCTTGGACTACGTAAGACAGAAAGAACACAGCTCCAGTTCTGTCCTCCTGCAGATTGGATACTACAGGATTCTTTTGTACTGTGGCTGCTAAAAGTTTTCATGTGGCTTGTTTTTTTCCATCCTTATTATTTCAACAAGTAAGTATAAAACGTGTTCTGTTCTAAAGAAAACAAAATAATCCTGTTCTTCCTGTCAGTACTACAAGCTCATCCCTATGCTTCAGAAATCCATTGGATTCTTTCCCTCTCAGATCACTAGCAACTAGGGTTCAGCAGGATAAGTTTGTGCCTTGTTTACATTGCACAACAGTGCTGTCTTCAGGTTCTGCTCTCAGTGTGTGTTCACAAAATGTAATTGCATCCAGCTCATTTGCTCTCTCTCTGTTATGTTATTTCTGAAGAGCCAAGAGGATTAAAAAAAAAAGCAGTAAACATTTGATGTGGTTATTAAACCCAGTTCATCTGACTTAAAGTAAACAAAGTAATAAATCTATTAAGAAATAAGATGCAAATTTTACAGTTACTTTCCAGGAGACCCATGCCTTAAGGGAGAAAGAGAAATTAAGGACTTTTATGCCAGAGGCATTCCTGAGAAAGGTAAGGAGGTATGCAAATAGAAATCTAATCTGGCTCTGACGTATGTGCTTGGGCAGAAAGCTATTGTTAGATAAACATGTTGCTCCTGAGCAGCACAACTAACGAACCCTGATTTCCTACGGATTTGAGTCCTTTGTCCCACATCTCTTTCTCTTCACCACAACAATCCCACCTCTCCTCATGCCTCCGATCACCCTGCCACTACCTAGAGACAACAAACTGGGGCTACAAATATACTCACTGTCGGCACGTGTGTGCTGCCTTGCCAGCTGGCTGGGACCAACACATAATGGCTGAGAGCCTTTTCTTCAGTCAGGGCAGTAACTTGACTCCATCCCTTATCCTGCTGCCAGACTTCATGAAATGTTTAAAAAAATATAATCATGTCCAACACTATCACTCTTTCAACTTTAGTCAAAACCTGATTTGCCAGAGGGTTACAAAAAGTATTAGGTACAGGACAAACACTGATTGTGTAAGCTGTTTCCACAGGAAACTAGATTCAGAAGTTCAGTTGCTTTTCTCTTAAAAAACAAAAAACCCCAACAGGGCTAATTAGGAAGTTTTCCCACAGTCATTTTCAGCTGCAATAGTTTGTATAAGAAATGGTGACTGACCTGCTGTCTCACATTAACACTTAATGTCTGATTCATTTTTTTTAATAAAGAAATGTGTGAAAGCTTCTATTCTGCTGCTAGCACTGACACCTTTTATGTGACTAAGTATTTCCAGCCTACTGCACAATCATTATTGACCCTTTTCAAAGAAAAACATGCTGCCTCCTCTGTGGCCTGCTCTCTATGCACCTCTCTATTCCGAGCTTCAGGAGTGCTCCATTGGACTGCATTCTCACACTGTCTGGACTTTAGATTATATTGAGCAATAAACATCGTCTGTTCTTAGTGTTCCCTCCGGCATATTTGCTTGAATTGTGACCTTATGTTTTGGTTTTGTTGTTTATTCCAGCTTCTTTAATACACATTCCCACTGCTCCTTCACCAAGCTGCCAACTAAGAACCTGCTTTAAAGGACCTTATCTATTTCTCCTGAGGAAAAGTAAAAAAATAAGTAAATAACTGAGAACATGTAGGCTGACAGCTTGAACCTCCCAAATAACTTAATTTCTTCTTCTATCACACCTGAAAATCCCGATTAAGGCAAGTCTTGTATTGGTGGAGGAGGGCAGGATGACAGACAGCCCTTGAGGAGCAGCAGATGTGTGTCATTTTGCCAGAGGCAAAACATGGTGTTGCCAGCAGGAGCGGGGCTTGGGAACAAAGGATGAGAACACAGAGGCTTGCAAGGCAGAGTTGCAACATCCGAGAGCTGGATGGTGACCAGCAGTTGGAGCTGGTGGACAGAAAAGGAGTAGAGGTTACTTGTGTCATCAACACCCAAGAAAAGGCTTCCATTTCATGTGTTCTCAAAATGCCTGCAGCTTCCCATCAGCCTTAGCTGGGCTGAGACCAGCTGCTGGAATTGCACCCCAGATTCCAGCAAGAGCCTGTGCAGGACCAGGACAGTGGGGAGCAGCAGAGGTACCCCTGGGAGCTGCCCAGACTGAAGCAGGGCAAGGCACTAAGGCTGTGGTGAAATGAGGCGTCTGCAGTTTGGGACTGAATAAGGGAGAGAACGTGCAAGTCATAAAGGGAGATCAAGAAGACTGTAAAACAATCAAATTGCTTGTGAGCCTTGGATTCTGACACTCCAAGAAACAACTCTTCATAGCAGTGTGGGAAACTCCTTTTTCAAACCTGGGCTGTGTGTTCAGAAGTAACTCTGTTTAAATACTAAGGCTGGATACAGTGAATGCAGAACAGGGCAGATGTGTTCTTTCCTGCCCTCTGCGCATGTGTGTGTGTATTTCACACACACTTACCCTTTTTCATCTTTGGACTCCCTTCTGGGAGCAGGAGAGAGGATCCATCAAGGTGTGGTGAGGCAGAGAGCACCCAGGCTAAAGCCTCTCTCTGGGCTTGTTCATCTGCTGAGGACCTAGCAGGAAGGGAGGATAATTGAAGTATAAATTACTTTTAGCTGTAATTAGATGTGCATATATATTAAAAATATCTTTAAAGAAATTTAAAATATCATTTCAAGATCAAAATAAGGCATAGCACACTTCAGAATCTAGATGTTTCCCCTTTTAAACTCTTGTAATACTGAGGGCAATAGCCCATAAGTGATGTTTTGAGTTTTATAGTAAATTATTTCATATGTATTGGCAGAAGATTAGAAGAACAAAAAAACCTCAAGGCTTTAAAAATCTCATCTTTCATACTCATTGAACACTAGGGCATGACATGTGTTTTTTGATCTACTGAAGTTACTGTAAAAAAATGCTGACATATTCCTGACGCTTGAACCAGTGGATATAATGTTGCATTACAGCTTTGGTAAAAGTTTCCAGATAGCCAAAAAATAAAAAGCATTTCCCTCCAGTGTTTATATGAGCCTACAGCAGAGGTAAGTTTCCTATGGAGTCCTATCTTTGGTAAGACAAGCACAACACAGTCACATTATAATGTGACTCCACTGGTTCACACAAGTTTTCCAACCATATCTCTTCTTGCTGGATTCCTATTCCAAATTCTAAATTCTTTGATGGTCAGGAATATCTTTATATTTTCCACCCTAGAGTGTACTTGTGGTAAGTCTGTGCCTATCACCTTAAATAATTCTTTCCTTTTTCTTGTGTTTGCTACTAACACAGCACCTGTGAGAGCATTCCCAGAGCCTGCCTGACTTCAGTTTTCATTTGTTAGGGTAAGTGAATCATATTTCAGAACAGCCTGGTAGCTCTTCTTCAGAACACTTACAGTTTGAACTGGCCTTTCTTGAACAGCAGTGAACAGAACTCTTTGTCTTGCCATCATCAGGTAACTTCTTAACAGCATTATCTTCATGTCTCCTTCAAGTTAGGTTATGTGGAACCTGTAGTCAAGATCTGTTACATCCATAGAGCTTCTTTTGCCTAGAAAGTCTGTTATATGGTTATTACCAAAGAAATCTGCCACATTAGTCTGGTACAATCTACTCTTGATAAAACTATACTTTTGTGCAATTTTCCTTTTACATTTCCAAGTATTCTTTCCTTTGTATTATTTGAACAGCTCACAGAATGAGTGGAGGTAGCAATCCTCAGTAAATGAAATTGGATGTATTAGGGAAAGAGCTCAAAGAATTGTAATTGTCGTACAGATCAGATGTGGCTTCATAAGTCTGTCTAGGCAACTAAAATTTATCACATACCAAAAGGAATTAAATAAAGATTCTGGCAACAGCCTATATCAGACCACAGCATCAGTTCAAGGAACTAAGTCTTAGAAAACTAAGTTTTCTGTAACACACAGCTGTACTTAGCCATATTTGTCAATCTCCATCACAAGTGCCAGTTCCATATTTGATGAGCATTTCCATTGATCTGAGCTCTGTGGTGGCAAAGACCACAAATAAAAAAAAAAGCAGCTCACTACAGGTCCCCTGGGACAAGGTTTAAATCGAGTGAATCTATTATGCTGGCTATCTAGGGACTCATTACTGAATTCACCATCCTTTGTCTTTGGAAATGCTAGAATCCATTCTGCGACAAGTCCTTCAGCCCATGGGATCCCAGCAGGAGAGTAGTCTCTTTTTGTCATTCAATGGCCCTATTTAATCCCCACTGCAGAAAAGATTATGCCAAGGGCCATTGTTTCTTATCCTCAGGCAGGCTGGGATCTCTTCGGAGAGGGCCGAAGGTTGAAGTGCTTGCAGACGTGGTAGAACGTGATAGGAGAAGCCGTCAGAAACTACCTTCCTGCTCCCAAAAGCTGGATTTTCCTGTATAATTATCCCAGTAGGAGCTGGAATTTGAGGGACTCATCTGAGTGTGGGACTGAGCAAGGCATAAAGGCTGGCACTGGCCAGCTCCCCCAGCCCTGTGTAGAGTAGAAAGCAAGGCAGTCTTTTCCCTGGCAGTGCAGGTACCTCTCCCAGCAACCGAATTCCTGCACTCTGTGTGATGATTTGATGCTGAGATAATGCTTCCATATAACCTCTGAACATGGGAACTTTGGTACAGACCTGTTAAACCATCCTTGCCTACATAGCTGCTGTCCAAAATTGCCTCGTAACTTAGCAACTAACTTGCTCCTGCTATTGGTCCTAGGTCTTCTTTAATGTTACCATTTCTTGAGCTTTTCCCCTTCATTATCTGTATATATTTCAAGTATTCTTCCCCCTGAGGCAGTGCTTCAAGAAGCAACTCACCTTTCTTGATTTTGGCCTTTTACAGGCTCTCTAATCTCTCTACAGAAATTCACCTGCATGGCTACAGCTCCTTCTGACTTAGATCTATCACCACATCACTTACCCCAGCTGTTACTTCAGTAAGGGTAATTAGCAAAGAACAATCATCCTTTGGTCATCAGCAATCAGGACTCAAACACAGTATGCTAGAGCAACATAGGCAAAAGATCTAAAAAAAAGCCAATCCCCATCATGTTTAAGTTATGATTTTCACACCAAGTCTAATGCAGTTTATATAAAACTTCACTTATTTGTAATAATGTGCTTCATCCCAGGACAGCAGAAAAGTACACAAAATAATGCTCCATTTTAATAGAATCAGAGAAGGGCTGGGTTGGAAGGGACCTTAAAGACTATCAGCTGCCAACACCGCTGCCATGGACAGGGACACTTTTCACCAGACCAGGCTGCTCAGAGCCCCATCCAACCTCGAGCACTTCCAGGGATGGGACATCCACAACTTCTCTGGGCAACCCGTTCTAGTGCCTCACCACCTTCACAGTGAAGAAATTTCTGGGTTAACACACTGCTACCAGCAGCTACAGGAACAGGGAGCTACACTTGCTGCAAAGGCCGTTGTTGAACAGCTGCCTGTCTCCATTGCTGGGTTTTGTCCAAGAGCAAAGAGGAGCCACATGCCTTAACCTTCATTTATGGACCGAAGAGACTAGCTTTGCTTATGTTTTCTTTCACTGTTGCTACTGTCTTATCTATTTGGTATCTTAGATATTTCTACAGTACACAGACTTCCAGCACCTTGCAGTTTTTCCCCTCCTATATTTGTATCTGTTTATATGTGATCCAGTGGCTTGTTTTATTCAGAGACGTTTGAGTACCTCAGGGTCTTGTGGTTTTGCTGCATGTGGTGATGTACTAACAGTGTACAAAAATATTTAAATTGCTACTTGAAATACAATTTGTACAAAAACTTAAATAAGCATCAATCAGAAGACTGATATGAAGCTTCCATATAAATAAGCTTTTAACTTCAGTCAACAAGTAAAGGCTTGAAAGAGAGCCTTTGGTCATATTTTAATGCATTGAACGTTGTTTTATTATGAAATACATTAAATCCCTCATTAAGAACGCACTGAAAAACAACCACTGCCTCCTCCAAATCTCTCTACAACCTGGCAGGGACAAGAAAGCTTGAAAACAATATTGAACTACAAATAGCATATAAAAAATCAAAAAGAATTTATTAAATTACATATGGAAAATTTGAAGATAGGAGCTGCAAAGGAAAATGATCTAAGAGCACCTAAGTACAGAGCTATGTTGTTCTTTTTCTTTTTTCCCTGCTAAGTAACAGCAGAAAAAGAAAATACCTTTCAAAAAATTGGACTTCTAAGCAAATGGAGATGAGGTTTCTATTGAACATTTACCTTTCACAGTGAGCATATTTTTTCTTTGTTAGCTGATGACTACCACTGTTTATCAAACAGGATTAGCTTCCTTAGACATTCCCAACCCTCTAGTTAGCTGCACCTTATGAATCACCAAATTTATAACTTGTCAGGCGTGGTCTGATACCTCAGGGCAAACTGGGACCCTGTTGCAAACAAGACACGTTAACTGCTTAAGCAGCTCAGGAGACAATACATATATGCTGAAGTCTTGAATGCATTTTTACTGTAGTAAAAGGAGAGTAATCTTTGCATAGCTTTTTTTGAGAGCTGTAGTTTGGGCATGCCCAAACCAGATTATTAAAAATGAAACAATTCACATACAAGAGCATGCTGCAATGCAGAGTAGAAGGTGGCTAGAAGGATTAAAGAAATAAATCAACTCAGTTTATTTTTAAACATGGTTCCTTTTTAGAGGGAATGAAAATACTAACATCTCTGCAATGATTTTCCTATGGATTTTGGAAGTGTGAGCACTTTACCCCCCTCAATTTCCACACAATTTGAGCTCCTTCTTAAAAAACTTCTCAGAGCCCAGTCCTTCTGTGCGGTGGTGCAATGTAACATGAGACAAGGTAACTAACTACATCAAAAAACCCACTGAACAAAAATGCAAAATCCATGTGCAAGATCCACACTAGGCATGCTCAGTCTCTTCTGAGCACCAGCAGAGGTCTTTTCTTTTAATAGGCACATGCCTGTCACTTTATTTGGTCTCAAATGCTCAGTGAAGAGCTTAATAGCTCAGACAAGAGGTATCTAGGTTCTTGGCTTAGCTGGAGTCAAGGAACACAAGGGAACTCTGCATGTAAACCATGAGGAAAAGGAATTGACTTATTTTAAAGCCACAATATAAAACATTTTAAAAATCTCCTTCCACTATCTGGATCTGCTTGTGGTAAGTAGCCTTTAAAAGAGCTTCTACAGTGGCCTTTGTATATAAAGCACAGTATACCTTTGCCACAAGAAATTATATCCTGGGTAAAGAGAGAATGACTTGGAGTGACCCATTATTCTGGACAAAATCACAATTAAAAGTGACACATTTAATAGCTGCCTATTCATGAAGCAACATGCATTACCAACAGTCTGCACAAGAGGACTACTGGGTTTCTAACAATGGAGAAAGACCAAAGTATGCTGGAGATTAAAGTGTAAACAGTAAAAATGCCCAGTTTTCCCTTCATGCTGAGAAACCTGCCCTGCTTCCCTTCCCGACCCCCACCAAGGCAACTATTACTGCCTCTGTCGGTTTTGATGCAAACCCTGGAGCCCTGTGTACAAGCTGGATTTGACCAAATTCAGTTGCTGCTATAAATACACCACTGTTATATTCATGTACCACACAGCTCTGTTTAAAGTTCTCACAGAACATGTGCCACTTCCCTGCAGGGAAAAAAAACAAACCACAATCTAAACAACAAACCACCCTTCTTTTTTCCCTTCACTACATTTTTGCTAATGCAACAAGAAGAGACTGTTCATGGGTAGTATTACTCATGATTTGAATCAAGCTGATACTGCTTCAGAATACAATGGGGAACCGAATGCACTTCTAAGAGTTTGTCAGGGTGCATATCACACGTGGGGTATTTGAAATATTACACCAGGTTGACATGCCTCACTACGGGAATAAACATTGGCCCAAGGTTGATATTTGTTGCAATATTTTGTTACTTGTTTCCAGAATTTTGTTTTCGATACCATCTAGGCACCCTCCCAAGAAAACCAAAATCATCTTCCTTGAAACAGGCAGATTTCAAAGGAGCACTATGCAAACACTGGCCATCTTCTTCTGTGATCTCTATGTAGGTGTAACACTGCATGTTGAGGATCAGGGGTGACTGCTCTGACATAGAACTTGAGTGTAAAATAAGGAATCAACACTACCACTTTAAAATGTTTACCAATAGGGTAAAAAATATTTACCCTATTTATTTTAAGCCAAAGGAAGCTTTCCTAACAAAGACACAGCAGGCCATCTATCTCCAAGGGAGTGTGCATTTGTTTCTGCTTAAAGCAACCCCCAAAACTCCAGACATATTTGATTGTAAATGAACTTTCTGTTTAGAGACTAAAGGAAATGTTTTGCTTATACAGAAATATTTATTCTAAAATAAAAAACAAACCAACATCCAACAACAAAAACCTCACCAACAAATACCTCTTAAAATTCAAGATCTTTATAAATAAAGGAAAAACAAGAATAAACCATTAGTATCAAAAACTTAAAAATATTTTTCAAATATATTAAAACATTAAAAATTAATTTTACTGTGTACTTATTCCTTGAAAAGAGGCTTTAAATAGCAGTTTTGTTAAATAGTAAATTGTCTTCCAGAGTTTTGATAATTTTTAGAAATCACAGTAAAGGCAGTTTACCTGATTCCTGAAAACTCAGTGGGGAGATAGATGCAAAACTAGGTCTTGCTCACATCTTGCAGTAGTTCAAGCGAACTAGTTACAGGAATTTACCTAAGTTTGCTGATTAAAATAACTCCAAAACCCCAAACCACATGAAAAACTTTACCAGTTTTCCTGTGCAAGGTCTGCAGATGGTAGCAAGAGTAAGAAGAGAGAAGTCCACTAAAGCAGTATGACTCAAAACATCTTGAAGATACTGTTAATAGCTGCTTGGAGCTAGGATTTCACCATTTTTGGAAAGGTCATTTAAGTGAACATTCACAACTAGGAGAAGTGTTATTCTAGTAAACCAAAACATTTGTGGTTAGTAAAATAGAAGCAGATTTTGTATCTATGTTAAAAATATGTTTCCATTTGTCAACTTGTGGTTTTAAGTACAACTCTACAACATTCTGAGAAATGAATGATGCAATCAACACTTCCAATAGGGAAGGGGCTAGACTGCATGGGATTTAATAGTAATAAAATGCTTGAAGCAAACAATTTATCTAATACATACCAGTGAAAGGGAGACTGCTCCCTTGCAGATTTTTACTGAAAACAAGAAGGAAAGCAAAATAGACAAACTCAGGATACTCCCAGAAACATATCACAAGTAAATACAGTTTTGTAAGAACTCTGAATCTGAATGTGTTCTGCAAAACACAAAGAAGTTTTGGTGCTTTGGGCTTCCCAGCAAATGGAATGCTTCTCAATTTCCTTCTCCAGAAAAAAATCTTGAAGAACCTTCTATCTTTGCTATGTAAATGGGGAAATTTATGGGAAAAACTCACCACTAGTGTTAGTATAAACAGACCCTTACATAGAAATGGACTTTTCTTGAAAGCAAATTAAGGCTGGAGCTCAGCTTCAAATGGCAAGTTAAAGAGAAAGTGTGAGATATCTAACATTTCTGGATTTTCTTTTCTTTTCTTCTTTATTTTTTTTCATTTTAGAGAATAAGTGGATGCCCCCATCCCTGGCTGTTCAAGGCCAGGTTGGATGGGGCTTTGAGCAACCTGATCTATGAAAGGTGTCCCTGTCAGTAGCAGGAGAGCTGGAACAAGATGATCTTTAAGGTCCCTTCCAACCCAAACCATTCTGTAATTCTGTAACAGATTCTTGCCTGTACCAAAATGCTCATTCCTTGAGTTTAAATATCTTTGTTAGATTTGTATTTGGAAATATATGGAGGGATTTTCTAAATTTTTGGAAAGGCAATAAATACATGTGGTATATATAATGAGACAGTGTTAAAAAGAGTACATGAGAGAAGATTTTGTGTCTATGCACACAGACTGAGAGTAACAAGCTTTCTACACAACACTTGAAGACTTTATGGACGAGGATATAATAATTATGTTCTATTTATAGTGTATTTTTCCTGAATGACACATGGACTTTATTCCTTGCTTAAACACTCACCAAGAAGTACTGGTTTGCTGACACTTTGGCAATTTCAAGATGCTGGTGCTCTATAATCTTTCACTTCCTCCTTCCACCTGCCCTAAATAGAAATTTATTTGCACAGTATCTGTTTTTAGCTAGATAGACCCTATGTTTAAAATTAGTCTTAAATACTTATTTTAGCAACTATTTGTCAGATGCACAAGCCTGCAGGCCAACATGTACTAATTCCATGGACATATATAGAACCATCTGCCTTGGGAAGATAAGACCAACAGCAAAGTCATTCTAAAAACTGAATTATTGCTTGTCTAATTTGAGAAAGTGTCAAATCCTGTAACTTAGTATAAAAATAATTTTTTAAACAACAGGTGAAGGTCTCGAGTATAAATTCATTAATTTAGAGGGGCTGTTTAGTTAGTCTACAGTAATAATTCTCCTTTCGCTATTTGTCTGCAGTGTCTTGGAGGGGCTGTTGACTTTGCAAATTCTTAGCTGAAAAGACTTGCTATGCAATCAGTGACTTACCTTCAACCAAAGAGACCATTTTAAAATCAAAAAGTTGCTTATATAATGAAAACACATCATACTCTATGAAATATTAAAAATCTTTTATTTCAGGCCAGTATAGTATTGTTACAGGCATCCATCTCTTCCTCTGAACTTGCACATGATCAAAGTTGGCACTTCCAACCACAAAAATGTTAAATGGTTATTACAGTATAGGCACAAAGTAGCCAAAAAGCTTTGCTTTCATTAGGCAAAGCCATTACTGTGCTCTAGCAGCATTTATTACCAGTGCATAAACTGAGCTCTAGGAGAAGAGCAAGCAGGAAAGGGAGATTTCCCTTAAGTGAAAGAATACAGATGGCAGCTCTGCTACTAAAACAGTCATTTAATCACTGGAAGAATGACAGATACCTGGATACACTGGACATCTTTATTCACTGCTTTCAGTGGCACTTCCTGATCTATGTGGGTTTAACATCTTTACAGGTGTCCACTGCTGCTTCAATTATTACAATCACTACTAGAGTTCCACATTTGAAGAACCAACATGATTTTTTAAGAAATGAAACAATAAAACCCCCAGATTGTTGGTACTGCAGTTCTCTTGCTTAAGAGCCTGCTTCATAACCACCATTTAAAATCTCTTTCCTTTCTAGAAGCATCAATTCCCATTCATCAAGAAGGCAGCACCTGAGACACTTTGTATCACCTAAGTACAAATTAACACAACCAGCATATCTCACTGCATTTCCAGCTTCCAGTTACAGTAGTAAGGTAAGCAATTAGCATACGGAATGAGTATCAAATACTTATGTGTACCAAAGGCAAGTTAGTCACAAAAATCTCTACAAATACCTTACAGACAAAACTAGCAGCAAACACTGCTATCTTTACAAAAGATTCGTTCATGAGCACAACTGATTGGGCAGCTATCTGGAAAACAAGCCGATAGCTACGTTACAAAAATAGCCAAACAAATATTTGATCATAGTAACTGCATGAACAAGTGTTAGAGAGAGAGAAGTAAGCATGATTCAGTTAGCACAAACTCCACTTATACAAGAGTGCCTCCAAGCCACAGAACACGTAGCTTCAGTTTTACACTAATAATAAATACTTCAGTCCAATACACACAACTGAGTCTGGCCAATGAGTCTAAACAGGCAATGGAACATAATTCCACTGGTTTTCTTTACAGCATGCAGGCCCACTCCATTGTCAGGAATGCCAGTCTTTGCCTATACAGGACACTTGGCATCGGCAGGTGCCCTGCAGCTCAGAACGGAGGGAAATGGCAAAAGTGCTTCCATCAAGAGGTAAGGTTCAACATATGCAAGGTATATGCACAGTTTGTTTTTAGGCACGTCTTTGGTTACATTCTCAACAGTCTGCTTTATAAATAATAAATAAAACAGTCAAGATTTGGTTAAAACCCAGGGAAAGATTGAAAACTTCTTTTTTCCCAAAACTCAGGCAAAGAAGTCCCTTTAAATTTGTGATTTGTTATATCCATAAACGATAAAATCCCAGTGCTACAGTAAGGCATGTAAATACTGAACCTGAAAGAAAATAAAGATGGGGAGGAAAATGGCATTAATATTGACATTAAACAACATTAAATCAATAGCTTTCACAACATCTCTTCAGAAAGCTATGTACACATCTTGCTACAATACTAGAAGTTCAATGACTTCCCCACCCCCATGTGAGAGATTAAGTTTTTCATTTACAACAAACCATTTCAAGGTAGGAAGAGTATAAAAATGACAAATAAGAAAAAGAGAAAAAAAAATGCTGGAAAATGATCAAAAGGCAGAAAGAAACCCTTACTTGCTTTTCATTCCAAAAAAGATCAATTTAATAAGTTACAGATATAAAATGAGGAAATAAATAATGGGAATAATAAAATAGTCAAATATTTAGCAAACTAATGAAAGCCATTTTTAACAAGGCTTATCAGCTTAATATTTTTAAAATTTCTTCTTAAATGAAATCGAATTTTTATTTCAAGACATACACACAAAATATTTTTGCCTTTGTTTGCAAACAGGAGCACTTCAAAAACAATGCATATTATTTTAAATTATTTTTTCCTCCTTGTAGAGTTCAACTTGTTTTTGAGTAGGAATGCTAGGGAAAAGAATTTCCTCTCATTTTAGTAAAGCACCTTTTATTTTCCATTTTATTGGTTCTCTGTAAATGGTACGTCTGAAATACAGTACTATTATACAGGCTTATGCAATAATTAATAATTATATAGGCTTATGCAATTGTACTTTTGACAAAACTGTGAAAAAATCATCAGAAAATCTAAATCAGAATTATTTTGTACTGAAAACCTCATTTATTAATACTTCACACTCAGCAATAAAATGTCAAAATGTTACAATTACCTAGGGCAATAATGGAGGCACACATATATAGTATCTTCTCCAAGCACTTGTGTAAATAGGGAAGTTTAAAGAATATGTTGCCTTAAACAGACAGAAAAACTGAAATGTTCCTTTTTTGAACACAGATCTCCATCAAATGGATGAAGAAATGCTAGTAATGCATGCAGGAGGCTGCTTAGATAAATTAAGTCAGGCACAGAACTTTTTGGTCCTTGTTAACAGGCAGTCTTTTAGATTTCTTACACATGTTATTATTAACAGTATAAAGAAGGACAAAAACCTGAAAAAAGCCCATGCAAAGTAAAGCTGTGAATCATAGGAAACTTATTCTGGGTTAAGTACAGAAATAAGGCTGCTAATCTTGCCTAAGACTATTTCAAGTTTGTTTCTTGGATTGTTTTTGTTGTTTTGTTTTTTTTAATCAGGGCCTTTATAAATACAGTCTCTACAATTGAGTTTGCCAAACATTGTAAAATGTTTGGCAGCTTCACCATCAGAGACAACCACCAGATTCCTTACCTGCTAAGTATTTAATGTTATCAAGTTTGTGTGATTCGAGCATTGTTTTCAGATCCGCAACTTCAGTGTCTATTTTTCTGTCTGTTTGGGTCAGAGCTCGGTCTTGTTGTGCGTGCTAAAAAGCAAAGCAACAAAATAATGCAATTTGAACATTTCCTAGTTTATCTAGAAATTTAACCCATTCCTTCAAGTTGTATTTTTGCTTCCTCCTTAAATGGATATTAATTTGCATTCTTACAGAAGTTACAAGATATTCTGAGTTAGATGGGATCCACAAGGATAAATACAACTCTGCAGTGAAGGGTTTGTACAGAGATGGAGTCCATAACTTTGGCATTATTAGCATCATGCTCTAACCAACTGAACTAATTACAGACCTTATTCAAAGAGAACAAGTTCCTTCTTAGCTGATTATATCCAAGGAATTGAGTATTTGGTGAACTCAGGAAATTTATGTGATTACATGTTCCTTAAAAAGTAATCTAGAAACTGGCAGAACTGGATGCCTTCTTATCTCAATCTAACAGCATAAACATTAACTTCAATCTGTCATTCAGCCCACTGACTAAAGTCACTGCTCAATTGTAAGAGCTATTGAGAAGCCTAAAAGCCTCTCATGACAAAATCATACTGGAGCAGAGAGATTTATGGATCATTAGAAAAACTGAGAACTGGTCTTCTGCTGTAGAAAATCATGTCTTTGTCTTGCAATGAATTTTACCACAAAATCAGCTACAAATTCAGAATTTGGTTATGACAGAAGACAGGACTTCTACTAAAAAAATAGGGGATAGAATTATTACTCAGAAGAGACTGAAAAATCTAACTTGTAAACGAAGAACAACAAATGCTGAGTTGCTGATAGCTTCAAATCAGCACTACTAGAACATTATGAATCAGTTAATGATTTACTGCTAGATGACTTCCTAGGGATAATTCCCTAAACTACAGAAAGGAAACAAAGAGAAGTAGTAGTTCTTGGTAAAAATCTCCTCTACAATGAAGGCAAATCAGTCTAGCAATGAGTTTCTCTAAACATGGTGGAAAGAATTAATTTCACATTGTGAGTGGAATTTTATCTACAGAAAATGCTACATGCATGAGGTTTTAAAGTGACTACTGAACAGCTCTGTTGACACAGAGGGTCTAACAATATATATGAAAGCCTTTTTATTCTATGGACACTTAAGTTAAAGTACATAAGGCCATCACAAAGTCCAAAAAGGATACAAGGTCTATAACACAATTACAAAAAGACCTGCTGTGTAATAATCAGCTACTAAATTCTTACCAATTCCACTATTTCTGTCCTCATTTCAAGTAGTTTTCTTTCATTAAGTGAATACTAGAAGAGGAAAAAACAAGTTAAATTTGATACTGTCCTTAAATATTTTTCCCTTTTTCCCCCCACTTAAAAGCATGTTTCCTTGTCTCTAAATTATGTAAAATTCATAATCTGGACAAGATTATTGCTTGACAGCACTTGGGAGACAGTACTGTAGCTGTCCTTTTGAAAAGCACACTTCAGAAATGTGAAGTGTAACAAGTTCTTCAGACACTTGTCTTCCAGAAAAACTGTATATATTAGTAAGCAGCTGGAAGAGAGACTGGCAGATTTGCATTTTTGAAAAGCAAGGATCTATGACTCTAAACAGTAACTCTGGAACAGCTGACTAATCTATTGAGCATGCAAACATAACCAAGATTGAACAATCTGCTGCCTTCAGGAAAGGGAAAAAACTCTTAGATCACATCAAACTCAGCTATCAACAAAACGTTTAGCCAGCACTGTGTGCACTCAAAATTTGATTGTTCTGACCTCTGTCATTTCATGGTATATTTGTTAAAAACAGAACATTTGCATGGCCTGTGAAGCCTTTTGTTTGTGGATCGTCAGAAGTTGTGGCTTATTTGTTGGATTCAAGGAAAAGTTAAATCCAAAATAAGGATAGCACACCTTTTAAACCAGGTTACCTGCTTCATGAACAGGCTTGAGTTACCTTGACACCTATAATGGTTCCTGCCCCCACTACTGGCACAATTAAATTATTTATAGACAACTGACAAAACACCAGCCTCCAGTCAAGAGTACTAAGGTCATCAGGCACACAGCTCAGAATCCTGAGTTAAACAGCAATAACCTTATCTATTGGCATTCCCACATGGAAAGTCACCTTATTTTTCCTTCACTCTGAAAGCTTATTTAATTTTAACATTAAAATCAGATTAATCTACATAAATGCCTCAGCACTAAAAAACATTCCTTAAAGATCTAGAGCTCTGTTTGGACTTTTGACTGATCTCAAGTTGATGTTAAAACACAGCAGGCCGCTACAAATGTAGAAAATTACATAAAGATAAATAACAGTATGTCTACAATTAATGGAGTCACTTGATTCTGCAAAGTGAAGACAGGAATTAAAAAAAAAGAAATTCAGACATTTTATATAAATCTCCATTTTTGAAAGTGTCAAAATGACAGAATATTTATAAAATAATCTAATCAAAATTATGTTTCGGTAGAAATGCAGGAGAATTGGACCTTAACTGAGGAATTGATCACTATCAAAAGAACCATGAGAATTAAAATAATTTTATGGACTGAAATAGTTCATCTGCTTTACTTTAAATAGATGCAGTTAGCCAAATACATATCTTCTGAATGATTTATATTCTACAAGCTTCTTTCTGGATGTTTCTTAAAGTTTTAGAAAAGCTGTGTTTAGAACTCTCTAGGTCAGGCTCAAGGATTTTACTCTTAGTTTTAAGACAGTGAAATTGGCCTTTTACTGCAAGCCATCATCATGTCTGTAACAACATAACCATGGTGCATAAAAAAAAAAGAAGGAAGGACAAGGCTAAACCTCCCACTCTGAAATTCAACAGAGATTTCCCCTTAAGTTCACATTTTTCACAGTGCAAGAAAAAATCAATTTTGTCAGATACTTCTTGAGGTTTTTATCAGTAAGATTAGATGCACTGTGATGCACAAACACATGAATATATACAAGTTTTTGTACTGTACTTCAAATTTTTTAACCCCATCTGTACACTGAAGATGTAAATCACATAAAGAGATGTGCACTAAGCAATGCAGGATTCTCTGAGAAATAAAGTAGAAGAGACTATAAAATAATAAACTGTATAAAAGAAAAGATAAAGCATTTAGAATTCAAAACGTTAAAGACTGCTAACATGAGTGTAGGCAAAGTAAGAAATTCTCTTTCAGCACTTATTCCACATAAAACTGAAGGACAAGAACATTTTACTTATTGCTTCAAGTTAAAACAACTGAAAAACTAAAAAACTTCGGACATTTTCTTCTGAAAAGTAACTCAGTAAGAATGCACAGTAATTTTCAATTATCCTTAGTTTTTTTCCTCAGAAAGCTGGATATTCAGTCCTTATTCACATTACAATTGAAGTAAATATAACAATAATGCTGTGTCTACTATAGAAAATACTGGATTACATCTTTCTCCCAAATCAGCATATGTGGTACAACCTGCTCCTCATTCAGCTGCCTTTTTCCTCTTCTGTTCACGCATTGCAGAGCTGGCAATTAAATGGTGGGGTGGGGGGAGGGGAAAAAAAAGAGAGCAGTTTCCATAGAAACTATGAAATTATAGTTGCACAACAGACTACAAAGTTGGTCAACTTTATTATGAGAAAGTTGACATGCACAGTTTGCCTTTCCTGGGACACAAAATAAAATTGCATTCTGCACAAAAGACCAAAGTCCAGTTTCCATGATCCTACATTAATATACAAAAAACCACTGCTGCCTAATTTATCACTGCTGCAGTGGTTTCATATAAGTTTTGTAAGCCCAAATTATTGCAAAGCTTATCATAAACACAATGACTACATTTCATAAGAATTTTTTTAAAACATTAGCATGAAGTATTAACCTTTAAACAAGAAGTCTACCTGCTCAAGCTGTACTTTATTCAAGCATGTACCATGGGCTAACAGACTGTCAGTCATTATACTGAGTCACTAACACAGCTGTTACGTAAACTAATCACTGTGAAAAACTTTTATCTTCTGTGCCACACAGAAGATAAAGATTCACACAGAAGATAAATGATTTCTACTTGAATAGTTCTTAGTGCCTGGATTGAAGATAAGTGTTATGTCTTTATGACATACCTGGGGAAAGGGACTGAGAAATAAATAATAATAATAATAATTTAGAAAAAGTCATTAAAAGATCCTTCAATTTAAAAGATGCCATTTCATTGAGATCCTAAAAGCCACTGAAAAAAAATAAATCTATGAGAACAGAACTCAAGAGTGCTATGCATAATGCAAAAACTGGTTAATCTTCTAATTTTATATCTACATTACCCTAATTTAAAATTACATAAATTCAGATCTACCAGGTATTTCAGAGCTCAAAAACAATATTAATCAGGATAACTTGCAATAAATAAATAAAAACTAAAAAAAAAAAAAAAAATTACAACTAGTTCCACAATAGGTATTTTCTGACAAACTAGTTATAGGAAAATGAAACATCTTCAACAATGATTCAACAAAATGTGTGAACAATATTAAGTGTGTAAACAGAGAAAGAGATATAAAATAGAAAACCCTCTAGGCAACTAGTCAGCAAATTAGATTAAATATCTAATATATTTAAGTGTAATGTGCTAATCCTGATACTAAAACAAGATCAAAACAGGTAAGACATACAGACCCAAACAAGACACCTTATATATACCAGCATAAGGACAAGTAACTTGCATAAATACCATCTTGAAGCTGAGTGATACTATAGGTTAGTACGAAAATGCTCTTTAGGAAAGATACTTTTACCCAAATTTGAAGATTACTCAGTGTTGAAATGTTTCTAGAAGTAACCAAAACTTACCAGTTCTTTTACTCTGCTCTTCTCCAGGTTTAGGTTTAACTTGTTATCTGCACGAACTTTGGTAATTTCATCCTAATAGGAAAAATTGATAAAGCAGCAAGCAAGATCTTCTGTTTTATCATAAGCAGAAATAATTAGACAAATACATTGTATCTTTATTTATATATCTCACGAATATGAGTTCTCCAATTAATGTATCTAAATTTTCAGAAGTATTAAGTATTTGTATTCTTCACCTGGGAAGTATGATGTTCTATAGTACAAATTGGATCTCAAAATCAAAAACTAAAAATTACTTTCAACCCTGAGAACAACACTTAACTGAGAGTACATCCTTCTATAAATGCAGAGAATGTTTCATATATCTTGTAAATCTCTCTCATATCCAGAAACCCATGTCTGGCTATACCTGTAAGTTGGCTTCCTTCCACAAAGCAACCTTGATGCTCAAAATAATGTTCAAGTTTCTCACCTTCCAATGCAAAAGAAAATCTGTTTCTAACGACTACATCTAGAGTTTTCAGAAAGAGCTATAGACATCTTAAGAGTCAGGAAATATTTACTGCATTTTTAAATATCTAACTTTTTAAAACTACCATTAATTAAGTTGCACACTTGCATTTGACTTTATCAATAGCTGTGAGTCCTGCTTTTCCTGGTGACAGCTGCCATTTTAATGCAACCTCGTGGCAGGAATTCCAGCCAGCTGACAATCTGTCATGTGGCAAACTGCTGATCAGATGAATATGTGGGAGAAGCAAAAGATTGCTGATGTTCTGGGAGATTCTACTGCTACAGCCAAATAAGCATTTCTCAAGTAGGCCAATGCCAACTCATTAGCTTAGCATTAACAATAATTAGACTCAATTTCTGTGTTTGAATTTTGAACTTTAATAGATTTATCTTTAGTTGTCATTTCAATAGAACACATTGCGGTTTAATAAATAAAAAAATATTAGTTTTCCTTGAAGTTTTACATTGTGTCTTTTTGTATGAGGAAGCATATAACAACACACCCTTGTGAGAATTGAGTTTACAGTTCAAAGTAAAATATAAAGACATCTAGCTTTTAAGAAAAGATGACTCAGATCCTTGATGCTCTACCAGCGGATTACACTAACTCACTTACATGCAACTAAAACCATAAACTAAGTTAAAATTCAAAAATTAGATGCCATATGTATTTTAAAAGAGTAAGCTTTCTACACAGAGCCTGATTTCTTACGATGGTCATTTGCTCCCAAACAAACGGGACCAAACATAATGGTTCCAAACTTGGTGGTCTTAAAAAGCCATTTAAAGATTCTTAAATTCTGGACAGATTTTTCTGGTTTTTCTTCAGAGAAAAAGAGAAACAAAATCACCACCAAATCAAACAATCAAACCATCAAAATTAGGAAGTACTGTGATTTTAAATGTATGCTGCATCCTTAATGTACAGACAGCCCTAAATGCAGAACTTCACTCTGTGATATGGCAGCTACTTTCTGAATCTGAATTGAGGACATAAAAACCTCTTCAGCTATACTTTGGTTCACCTCTTGTACTAGTCATAGTTTCCTGTCCCCATAAATGAGATATCCATCAAAATGCCATTGCTGCAGCCCAGTGTACTGTCAACAGCAATTTCAGTATCACATATATGGTAACAATTAAATACAGCTTAGAAAATAAAATTCTGAAAGTAACACTTATTTTTTCCAGCTAATTAGACAGGTGTTAATTTTTAATTATATTGATACAGTATCTTACCATGACTTGCTTCTTTATCTGTTGGAGCTCAAGTTTTATTTTCTGTAAGAGTAGGAGAAGAATTTTAGACTTTATTACTGTATTTAAGACCACACAATCTAGAAATCTACTGAATTTGCATGATCAGTAACGGTGACTATAATTCATAATATGAAAAAGCAGGCAAACCAAGCACTATTCTATGTCCTCAGTATGTGTACAGATGAATATACATGCATGTTAACTCAGTACTGTGCCCTTCCAAACAATAGCACAAGGCAGAAATCAGCAGTGTCTCACTGGCAGCCATCCTAACACAGCCCAGGAGGCTGCTGGCTGCTTTTGCCATAAGGGCTCATCACTAGTTCACAGTACACCAGGTGTCCACCAGGTCATCCCTGCCAAGCTGCTTTCCATTTGGTCACCCTCATCCTGTCCTGGTGCCTGAGGGTATTCCCCAGGGGAGTGACTGGGCATTTCCATTTGTTCATGTGATTCCTGTCATCCCATTTTCCCAGCTTGCTGATGTCCCCATGAATGGCAACACAACTGCCTGGTGTATCAGCTGCTGTTCCCAGCTTTGGATCATCTGCAGGCTTGCTGAAGGTGCCCTCTGCTCTATAGGTGCCAAAACATCCCAGGCCCAGTCATCTCCTTGGGTACAAGATGCTTTTCTACATCATTTTAAGAAAAGAAAAGAAAAAAAAAGAAAGAAAAAAAAAAGCAGACTAGCACTTTCCAAGACAGTATTTTTTACCTCATTTTCTGAACGAAGTGCTGAAAATTCACTTTTTTCCAAAATAATCATGTCCTTTTTCACTCCACCAATATGGGACATTATTTGCTGAAGTGCAATTTCCTTTAAAAGAAGGAAGATGAATCTCAGAACATATCACAACTATAATGCCTTTTCCTCATCTGTGCCTACAAATACGAAAGACGATTTTGGTACCCTGAAATTTTTAATTCAACAATTTCAGGTTCCAAGCTTCAGAAAGCAAGACAGAGTGACACTGTCAAAATAAGCAAGTTAGGCTCAAATGTTGATAATGTCTAACAAAATTGGCAGTGCTAACACAGATCAGAATAATTCAATTATTAGCCTAGGAAACATTTACTTTCAAGTCATCAAATTCTTAAGCTAGCAAAGGCATTAGGGAGGGCTGTCTCTGAGCCAAATGAGGAAAGCTGGCTTTCAGACCAAAATTGCTCAGCTCAACCATACTCTCCTGTAATTACCTCTTTTTCCCTTCCCTGAAAGGAAGTCTCTGCCTCACTACTCAGAATCACGCACTGATGCTTTGAATTGCTGGTCTCAGTCCATTACATTGAACTGACAGAAGACAAACAAGAACTCTCTGCAAATTTAAAGGAGGGAAAAGTCTGTAGACATTGTTCTAGATCCTACACTACCCACATATGCAAATAGGAACTGCCTTCTCTACTTAAGATCTTCCTCTAATATGTAGTCCCTTGCTTTTTGTTCTGGACTAAGACGCCTACAAATCTTACACAGCACTCTAACTTCAGTTTTGTCAGAAAATGTGATTCTACCTCACAACATTTTATTTCCAAGTAGCATCTAAAGATGCCTCTCCAGGCTACCTGACCACAGGACTGAAAAAAACGGGCCAGTGTTCTGGACATACTACAGAAAATCTACAGAAAGGATGCATGGACACCTCTTTTCTTACTCCTCGCTATCTTCAGATTGCTCTTGTTCTCTCTTTTCCTCAGTGGACTCAGTAAACAGAGACCAGAATCTTCCATATTCTTTCTCTTCTTCAAGCATATACATACACACACTTGTAAATCTGTTTTTCCCTAAGGTTCTATCTAACCAAGGTAGAACTTTGATAATAGCTCAACCACAAATTCCAAATCTTTCTTCTAATTCTTTGTTCTCTTTCTGCAGAAGCCCTTGTGCAATCAAAGACTATAAGGAAGTACAAATTTATCATGTGGCCCAGTGTTGATAGCCCACATAGTTCCTGAGCTGCCATACAAAGCTACACATTGCATCTTAATGGCAGAAAATCACTTGAGTGTCAAATCTAACAGTCTCAGAAAATATCTACCATCAGTAGCAACATTAAATTCAACACAGAACAACTTTCATTCAAAAAAGTAGGCACAGAAGGAGGCTGAGACTGCTTGTTGTAAAATACAACTAAACATGGGAGAAAAGGACCCTTTAATACTGCATTCCCTCAGTGACTGGGGAACAAATTCAGCACAAGAGGAGAATTGTAGGCTTGCCTACAATCCAAAAGCTAAGAAGATTCACTTGAAAGCTCCCTAGATGGAAAGTGCCACAAAATCCACTTTTGCAGTATCCCACTTTTTAATGAGACACCCTTCTGCCAAGACTGTTACACTACAGAGAGAGCAGCTGCTGTTTCCTCATGTCTCAAGACAGCAGCCTGGTTACTATGAAACAAGTTACAGCTTGTGCTCGGAAGGTGACCTGGGGCTGAGAACCTCAGACTCACTTCAGCTCAATTCTAATACAACATAAATGTCCCTGTGAGACACAGAGATAAAAAAAAAAAGTACCACATAACAGGGTGGTAATGAACTGAGGGGATCTGTACTTCCTTGTTACAAGTCTGCAAAAGAATATGTGTAGAAATTCAAATCCATGCCTTTTTGAATACGTCTTGTGCCTAACCCTTCTCAGTAACCCTGTGTCATGTTACTGTAAGGTTGAAACTAAAAAGCTACTTGTGGTTTGCACACCAACCCACAGTACTAAAATCTCAAGGTCCATCATAACACTTTGGTAACTGTCTGATAAACTCAAGACAAAATGAACCAGCCAATAGATAAAGAAAAATATTTGCTCTTCACCTTCAAACTTTTAAAATGCAGTGTCTAATAGTAATAAATAGCAACACATATTTCATTAGCAGTCATACAAGGCACTAATTTACTTTAACCCCACTATTGCCTCTGATCTAACCTGCTGTACTTTGGTGACCATGTCCTTGTAAATCATATCCAGGTTGGTGTTCATGATTTTCACTAATGCAGACACAATGACCTCCGACTGCTGAGTAGTGAACCCTAAGCGAAACAAAAAGTGACATTCAGAGAGGGATCCAAATCTGGACAGTTTACAGAAATGCTGATAACTCATCATCAAATTACAACAAATGCCAGTTATGAAAGATAACAAAACACAGACCTCTTGATCCAGCACTAACAAAAGAACATAGCAAATTTCCCCACCCCAAACCTATGTCTGTGACATAGTACAGACTATGACTGCTTCCACAGTACAGCACTATTATACTATCAGCAGGATAAACAGGGAATTTTCCAGACTTATTGTGGAATGTTACCTCCCACATGTGGTTAGATTACCTTCATGAGCAAACAAGAATTCTGACTCTGAAAAGCAGATACTTCATTATACTATAAAAAAAAAATTATACTCAGTGCCACTGAAGATGTACAAAACTCAGCAACTAAAAACAAAGCCAACTGTCTTGATTCTAGGTCTACCAGCTTCTGAGTGCCTATTAGAAACTTTTTGAATTGAATATACTGGAAACTATAGTAAAACACTGTCCCTAAAAATACCTTCATCTTTTCCACCCTCAAAATGTAGGAGTTAAAATGTCACGAACAGGAGTTAATCATTATGAAAAGAAACACTTGCAAAAACACTTGTAGTTATTACAAACTAACCAGCAGCTCAGCATCAGCAAGCACAGCTGAGAGCAAGTCACTTTCAGCAGCTGAGCTGATACAAAAGTTTACTACCACTAAAAGGCTCCCTCTCCCCTTATCCCTCCTCCTGACACTCTGACCTGTGCTCACTCAACTGATCCAGCAGCTCATTAAACTGGTGTCTCAGAATACCAAACAAGAGCTGGAGAGCTTCCTGAGAAGTTCCTGGCACATGGAAAAAGAAGAAACCACCTGTCAGGGGAAGGGGACTAGGAATCTCTCCATTTTAGGAATGGAGAGCTGTTACAAGTCACTTCAGCTGTATTGAGCTTCATCTTAGGGTACCTCTCCTATCTCAGCATTGAATCCAAAATGATCTATTCCCTTGCCTATATTTTAGCATAATACTATTTTATAGAGTATTCTACACTCTATCCTAAAAGCTGCACTTTTAGGATACAAAGTAGCCCATATGCCATCCAATTGTAACGCATTGGTGCACATTCAAGTTGTAATATACTCAGTATGAAGGAATCCAATTAATAAATTTTAAAACACTGCCTTGAAAACTCAGTTCTTAAAATTTCATTTTTTCTTAGCATTTTAAACTACCAATAGGGTAAAAATTATTCCAAACAAAATTATATAAGCTGCTTCCTTTTTGAAGCTGAAGAAAACCCTATGTGTCCCTGCCTTGTATATAGATAAGCCCCCCAAAAATCCATAAAAATCAAGGTGTAATACTGCATGTTAAGTAACAAACTTTGTAAACTAAAAAAACCACTCATTAAAGCCATTAAAAATAGCTATTTGTTTCAAACAAATTACCATTTTCTTCCAAGAGGCATACCAGCGCATGAGTGTCAAAATAAAGTCTCCTATTTCCCAGTAATGAAATACTCTCTTTGCTTTGTAAAGATGACACAGAGATGCTTACATCTGGGGAAATAAAAAATAAAAAGAGAGAAATGAAAACAAAGTTATTTCTTAAGAAAGAATATTTTATCAACATGTTTGCTTTCCAGGAGTTTCCTTACTACCTGGAATGCTTTTTCACTTATGACAAAATAGTTTGTATTGAGATTACCACAGCTTGCTTGGAAGTGAAAAGACATCTGATCACTAAGTTCCATATGTAAGAGCTGGAAAACAGGACACTACGCTACTGCTGCCCTTACAAGATGCTCTCAAGGAATACAGTGCTTTGGGAAAAATCCCTCCAATTCACAGGGTCCTGCATCTGTTCATTTACTGGAATCACCTCAGCAGGTGGAACCTGTGAGCACTTCAAAGCTGGAGGGCTAAATTTGCACATTCTGTCCCTTCTTTGTTAAAGAAGTGAACTTTCATCATTTGCCATTTAGGCAAGAAGTAATTTCTCACAATTCGCCATTTACTGGTATTGCAGGAAATACTTTCAACACTGAAAGCCAATCTAAGACAGTGCATTGTCTCCACTGGGATGTGTAGTGTATAAACTACCTTGACAGAATGAATGTGAGGTGGATCATGAGGTGAACCGCCAAGAGGCAGAATCTGCTAATCAATTAGATTGGAAGAGACCTTTGCGATCATCGAGTCCAACCTTTGACCGAGCACGGCGTTGTGAACCAGACTACGGCACTGAGCGCCACGTCCTTAAACAGCCCCAGGGACGGTGACTCCACCACCTCCCTGGGCGGCCCAGTCAGCTTCTCTGCAAAGAAATTCTTCCTAATGTCCAACCCAAACCTTTCCTGGCACGGCTTGAGGCTATGCCCTCTTATCCTGCCAGCTGGTTGTCTCGGCGAAGAGGCAGACCCGCACTTTGCTACCCCCGCTTCCAGTAGTTGTAGAGAGCAGTAAGGTCCCCCTGAGCCTCCTTTTCTCCAGGCTAAACACCCCCCGCTCCCTCAGCTGCTCTGCATGGGACGTGCGCTGCAGACCCTCCCTCCCTCCATCCCCCATTCCCGGTGCCCGAACTCTCAGTGCCCTCAGGACGCCCCATCCTCACGGGCTCACC